GCACTTGTCCCCCATGTTGCAGATACACTCTTGGGCTCAGAGATTGCACAGGTAACAGGGAATGATGTGGACTCAGGACCAGTGCTGTGGTATGTGCTGAGCCCATCTGGGCCCCAGGATCCCTTTAGCGTAGGTCGCTATGGAGGCCGCGTCTCACTTATGGGCCCTTTGGACTTTGAAGAGTGTGACCGCTATCACCTGCAGCTGCTGGCACACGATGGGCCTCACCAGGGCCATGCCAACCTCACAGTGCTTGTGGAGGATGTCAATGACAATGCACCTACCTTCTCACAGAGCCTCTACCAGGTACTGATGCCCCTGTGTGTTCCCCCACCTGGGCCCAAGTTCACATTGGAGGGAGGTGATGAGGCTATAGAAGCATCTGGGGTGGACTGGGCATTTAGAGCAGCCGGGGCACGGGCTCTGGGGATGAGTACCTGCCATCTCAAACCAACCTTCCATTTCCTGGAAGTCAAACCTTCCAGTTTGACTCCTATGCCCAGAAATGAAGGACTACCAAGTTTTTAAGTTCTGTTAAACATGGCTAAAAGTGTAGGTAAGGAACTGTAGCTAGCTGTGCATTTGTGACTGTATCACGGTTTGTTTGCTTAAACACTGATGAGTACAGACTCCACACCTGAACAGCTGAAGCAGGGCTTATGGGACCGAACTGCAGAACATAGAATGAGTGGGCAGCTGGAAGCTCTGCCATAAATGCTTGTCCTCACACCTCAGGTAACGCTGCTCGAGCACACCCCCCCAGGCAGCGCCATTCTCTCCGTCTCTGCCACTGACCGGGACTCGGGTGCCAATGGTCACATCTCCTACCACCTGGCTTCCCCTGCTGAGGGCTTCATTGTTGACCCCGACAACGGTGCGTCCTTCCAGGATCTTCTCCCTTATCTTTGACTACGTTGGGCCATATTCTGACCTCATTCCTGTAATTTCTTGCCCAAACTTGCTGGATTTCTGACTGAGGCAGAACATTTCTTCCCTTGTCCCTTTTAAGCCTGGTCCTGACTGCATGTCTCGACGCCATTCCCTGAATCTGGAGGCCATTTCCTCATCTCCTGACACACTGTCCATTCCCTGGAGTCAGACTCCATTCCTGGGCCTGAAGGGTCACTCCCCTGCTCACCGACAGCCTCTGCTGAATGCATGTTTCTCTCTATGCCTATCTTAGGGACCTTGTTCACAACATTGGGAACAGTGGCCTTGGGCCACGAGGGGCCAGGAGTGGTAGACGTGGTGCTGGAAGCACGAGATCATGGGACGCCAGGCCGGGCAGTACAGACCACAGTACACGTGCAGCTGCAGGACCAGAATGACCACGCCCCAAGCTTCACACTGCCTCACTATCGCGTGGCTGTGACTGAGGATCTGCCCCCTGGTTCCACCCTGCTCACCCTGGAGGCCACAGATGCTGACGGGAGCCGGAGCCACGCCACGGTGGACTACAGCATCGTTAGTGGCAACCGGGGCCAAGTTTTCCAGCTGGAACCTCGGCTGGCTGAGACTGGAGAGGGAGGTGGGCTAGGACCTCGGGTGCTGGGCTGCCTGGTGTTACTTGAACCTCTAGACTTTGAAAGCCTCACCCAGTACAACTTAACTGTGGCAGCAGCTGACCGGGGGCAGCCACCTCGAAGCTCAGCTGTGCCAGTCACAATCACAGTACTGGATGTCGACGACAACCCACCTGTCTTCACCCGAGCATCCTACCGTGTGGCGATTCCTGAGGACACGCCTGTGGGAGCCGAGCTGCTGCATGTAGAGGCCTCTGATGCAGATCCGGGTCCACATGGTCTCGTGCGTTTCAAGCTCAGCTCAGGTGACCCTTCAGGGCTCTTTGAGCTGGACGAGGGCTCAGGTGCCTTGCGACTGGCTCAACCCTTGGACTGTGAGAGCCAGGCTCAACACCAGCTTGTCGTGCAGGCTGCTGACCCTGCCGGGGCACATTTTGCTCTGGCTCCAGTGACCATCGATGTCCAGGATGTGAATGACCACGGGCCAGCCTTCCCCCTGAGCTTGCTCAGCACCAGCCTGGCTGAGAACCAGCCTCCAGGCACTCTTGTGACCACACTGCACGCAATCGATGGGGATGCTGGGACTTTTGGGAGACTCCGCTACAGCCTGTTGGAGGCTGGGCCGGGGCCTGGTGGTCGAGAGGCATTCGCACTGAACAGCTCAACAGGGGAGTTGCGGGCACGGGTGGCCTTTGACTACGAGCACACAGGAAGCTTCCAGCTGCTGGTGGGTGCTGCAGACGCTGGGAATCTCTCAGCCTCAGTCACCGTGTCAGTGCTGGTGACTGGTGAGGATGAGTATGACCCAGTATTCCTGGCTCCAGCTTTCCATTTCCAAGTGCCAGAAGGTGCCCGGCGTGGCCACAACCTGGGTCATGTGCAGGCCACAGATGAGGATGGTGGTGCCGATGGCCTGGTGCTCTATTCCCTTGTTACCTCTTCCCCCTATTTTGGTATCAACCAGACTACAGGTGCCCTGTACCTACGGGTGGACAGTCAGGCACCAGGCAGCGGAACAGGTGCTTCTGGCAGTGGGGGTCGGACCCGGCGTGAGGCACCACGGGAGCTGAGGCTAGAGGTGGTGGCACGGGGCCCTCTGCCTGGTTCCCGGAGTGCCACAGTGCCCGTGACTGTGGATATCACCCACACTGCACTGGGCCTGGCACCTGACCTCAATCTTCTTTTGGTGGGGGCTGTGGCGGCCTCCCTGGGAGTTGTGGTTGTACTTGCATTGGCAGCCCTGGTCCTCGGGCTGGTGCGAGCTCGTAGCCGCAAGGCTGAGGCAGCACCCGGCCCTATGTCACAGGCAGCCCCTCTGCCCAGTGGAACCCTACAGAAGCTGGGCCGAGACCCACCCAGCCCACCGCCCTCAGAGCACCTGTATCATCAGACTCTCCCCAGCTATGGTGGGCCAGGAGCTGGAGGGCCCTACCCCCGTGGGGGCTCCCTCGACCCTTCACACTCAAGTGGCCGAGGCTCAGCAGAGGCGGCAGAGGATGATGAGATACGCATGATCAACGAGTTCCCTCGCGTTGCCAGTGTGGCCTCCTCCCTGGCAGCCAGGGGCCCTGACTCAGGCATCCAGCAGGATGCAGATGGACTGAGTGACACATCCTGCGAGCCACCTGCCCCTGACACTTGGTATAAAGGCCGCAAGACAGGGCTGCTGCTGCCGGGTGCAGGAGCCTCTCTGTACCGGGAAGAGGGTCCCACGGCCACTGCCACGGCCTTCCTGGGAGGCTGTGGCCTGAGCCCTGCACCCACTGGGGACTATGGCTTCCCAGCAGATGGCAAGCCATGTGTGGCAGGTGCCCTGACAGCCATTGTGGCTGGCGAGGAAGAGCTCCGTGGCAGCTATAACTGGGACTACCTGCTCAGCTGGTGCCCTCAGTTCCAGCCGCTGGCCAGTGTCTTCACAGAGATTGCTCGGCTCAAGGATGAAGCTCGGCCATGCCTCCCTGCTCCCCGAATTGACCCCCCACCCCTCATCACTGCCGTAGCCCACCCAGGAGCCAAGTCTGTGCCCCCCAAGCCAGCCAACACTGCTGCAACACGGGCCATCTTTCCACCAGCCTCTCACCGCTCCCCGATCAGTCACGAAGGCTCCTTGTCCTCAGCTGCCATGTCACCCAGCTTCTCACCCTCACTGTCTCCTCTGGCTGCTCGCTCACCTGTTGTCTCACCATTTGGAGTGGCCCAGGGTCCCTCAGCCTCAGCACTCAGCACAGAGTCTGGACTGGAGCCCCCCGATGACACGGAGCTGCACATCTAGCTGTGGCCCAGGCTGGGCCCCGACCTGGGATGCGCACAGTGTCCCCAAAGCAGGCCCCATCTGAGCCTGCCCTGGGCAGCCTCGGACCATGATTGGCCACGGGGGAGGCCAGGTCCTCACTCCAGACTCCTCCAGGGGGGCAGGTCCTACTTACCCTGGCCTTATCAGTGCCAGCACTGCAGAGTCCTATTGGGCACTGACCTGTGGCCAGGTCCAGTGTGGGGAGAAGTATGGGGGCGCCAGGAGCCCTCAGTTCTCCTCAGTGAGGGCTTCTTGCCCTGTGTCAGCACCCTGAGATGGAGCTCAGACTTTATTTATTGGGGGGTTGGGAAGATGGGGAAAGTCCCTCCAACCTGTATGGGCCCAGTCCTTTGGGCTCCAGCGACACCCCTGCCCCTGCCCAGAACCAAGTGCCAATTCTCACTCTGGAGCCTTAATAAACTGCAGTTTGTATCCAGTGTGTGGCTCTGTTTTGTGGGGATCATAGGGATCGTGGAGGATAGGAAGATAGCTGACACACTGGGCACCTGAGCAGCCACACGGTGGGGGCGCATGGGAGCACCCCTGGTGGGAATGTTACTGGGGAACTTAAGCTGAGATAGGCTGACCAGCACTCCTTGCAGTTGACCTTTCCTTTTGACAAGGCAGGAGGAGTTCAAGGTGAAGGCAGACTGCTGGGGGCTTGCTGGGACAATGACCTAGAAAGGGATTATGTGGGGTGAGCAGCTCTAGACCTGAGAGTCTTAAAGGAAATGGGGGCAGCAGAGAGCAGCCAAGTGGTTTATTTGTGTTGGGGTCACTATATAAACATGGTAACAAGCTCATGTTTGTGAAGCCTTTGCCACATCAAGTTCCCTGCAGAGCCACTGCCGGCTTTATCCCTGGAATGGTTCACGGAGCCCTAAGAGGCAGAGCAGTTTTACTATATTCCAAAAGAAGATGCCTCGGCACCAAGATGTGACTTCCTGGTACCAAATAGCTGGGAAGAGCAGGATCTGCGGTGTGTGGCCCTCCAGAGTCCCTTCTTGCGCACTCCCCTCCGCCGGGTGGTAGCCTTGCTGGACTCTGGTAGCAGTTCCTTCCCTGACCAGGCAAGCCAGAGAGCTCAGTCCCAGCGGCAGCTCTGGCAGCAACCCAGCACTCAGGACCACCCTTTTGGGGGAGGAGCCATCACGTCACTAGTTTACAGGCAGCTGGGTGGTGGTGGAACAGGGCTCATGTGATCTGTCACATGGCTGCCGATCTGCGGAAAGGTAGAATGGAACTCCGAGTCTGGTGAGAAATTAGGGCACCCTGGGGAAAGGGGAGCACTTTAGAGGGAGTACACATCAGAGGGGGGAGCACAATGACACTTCTGTGCCTGCTGAAACCCACCTGCCACCCCTGCAGCCTCCTAGGGGTCCTTGCCCTCGTTGTTGCCGTCAAAAGCAGTTACAGCCCGGAACCCGACCAGCAGCGGAGGTAAGTTGACTTACTCCTAACAGCCCCCTTCCCCGTGCTGTCCTGCCCCGACCGACCTGGCCCTCCCCCCTCCCTCCACCAGCAACTAGTTCCCACTCCATAGTCACATCCTCAAGTTCTCAGACTCAGTCCCCCTACTGTCCACCCTGTGAGCCACAGTCCACATCTGCTTCTGGGATCCTACCCAAGGCCTCAGCCCCTAACCGTGACTAATTTTTCCCATCCCCACCCTAATGATGACCATGTTGCTGGCCCCTGACCCTGCAGGCTACCCCCAGGATGGGTGTCCCTGGGCCGTGCAGACCCTGAGGAAGAGCTGAGTCTGACCTTTGCCCTGAGACAGCAGAACTTGGAGACTCTCTCTGACCTGGTGCAGGCTGTGTCGGATCCCGGTTCTCCTCACTACGGTGCTTGTCAGGACTGGGGGTGGATGTGGGATGCAGTGGAGGGACAGGGCTGGCCTAAGCATGGGATGGTGCAGCTCACATGAGATCATGCCTGGGGAGGGGGTGCTGTAGGGCAGAAAAACAGCAGTGACTCATTGAAGAGTTTCTGTAAAACATTAAACTGGAACTAAATTATCCAAAATTAACTTACATTCTTTTCTCCAAAACTTTCCATCTGTGTTCATCAGGCTAAAGCTGCAAGTTCTGCAAGTTCATGTGCTTAGGAGCACAGACTTTCATTTCCCTCTCCTACAGACACTGAAGCTGGCAGTTCCACTTGTGAACTGGCCCTTGGTACAAACTGATTGTCACCATCCCTGTTTGCTAATAATAACTTGGTTAATTCTCTCACACAGATTGCAACCCACTGCCCAACTGTGGCCTCTTCCTCCTTCACCCTACTCCACACTATATTTTCCATTCTGCTCCAAAACAGTCCTTATTTTGCTCTAACAGTCAAAATGGGCTGTGACCTTCTGCTACTTGAAGTCCTATACGGCTGGGAAGGAGTGATGTGTGTGTGTGTGCGTGTACCCGTCTCTGATTGGCCTAGGAGGTAAGCACTGGGGTGCAGGGCTCCATGCAAACAGATAGCGACCCAGTCTCATGATGGGCTTAAAATCAACAAATACAAAGATTTGAGTTAAATTAGATGTTACCTTATAGTGAGCTCTGAAGATTTTGAAAACGTTTATTGGAGGTAATATTAAGCTGGAAAATTTTAATTTACTAACCTCATTTGCGTTTCACAATCATAGCAATGCATTCTGTGGCACAGCACTTGCAACCTCCTAGCCTTTAGGATAAGTTCGTATTTCTGGCCATGGCATTCCAAGTCTCTCCTCCTGGTGTCCAATCATAGCCTGCACATGCGCACAGCCCATCTTTTTGGTAGCAAGTTCGTACTCATCCCTCAAGACCTTGTACAGTCTCCTTGGAAACTCTCAATATCTCCTTGCTGAGGTCCAAAATGGGCAACCGGGAAAAGTAATGAACTGCAAGAGCCTCTCTTGAATCCTTGCAGGAAAATACCTAACCCTAGAGGATGTAGCTGAGTTGGTGCAGCCATCACCACTGACCCTCCGCACGGTCCAAAAATGGCTCTTGGCGGCTGGAGCCCGGAACTGTCACTCAGTGCAGACACAGGACTTTCTGACTTGCTGGCTCAGTGTCCGGTGAGAGGGAATAATTGTCCCTTGGAGGGAACTAGTCATCCCATCAGGGAGACAAGTTACCCAATGGGAGGAAGCTGAGAGTCTGCTGGGGGCTTTCGGGGCAGAGCTAAGGCATGGGGATACCTTACCTGTCTGGGTGTACAGGCAGCTCCTTAGCTCTGGGCCATGCTTTCTAATCTCTACTCTCTGCTCTCTGACCTCCAGACAGGCAGAGCTGCTGCTCTCTGGGGCTGAGTTTCATCGCTATGTGGGGGGACCTGCAGAGACGCATGTTGTAAGGTCCCCACATCCCTACCAGCTCCCGAAGGCCTTGGCCCCCCATGTGGACTTTGGTAACACACAGTGGGGTTGGTGGGGGTAGGGGCAGGCAAAGCCAGGGACTGAGAGATTTAGATGTCATGTGGTGTGGGCTAGTAAAATGAGGGTTGTAATCTAAAAGGTTCTTCTCCCCAACCCCAGTGGGGGGCCTGCACCGCTTTCCTCCCACATCAACCCTGAGGCAACGTCCTAAGCCACAGGTAGCAGAGGCTGTTGGCCTGCACATGGGGGTGACTCCATCTGTGATCCGTGAGCGATACAACTTGACAGCCCAAGATGTGGGCTCTGGAACCACCAACAACAGCCAGGCCTGTGCCCAGGTGAGCCATTAGAGAGTCCCAGAGACCTCTGACTCTGGGGAGTTACCTGACCAGCCTGGGGTTCCCTCTGACCCTAACCCCGGGGCTTTCATTCCCTATCCTACATCTGGGACAGATCCCTGTCTTGCCCTTGGGGTGCAGCATGGCTGCTGAGATCTGTTCTGCTTCTCTCCACAGTTCCTGGAGCAGTATTTCCATAACTCCGACCTGGCTGAGTTCATGCGCCTCTTTGGAGGAAAATTTGCACACCAGGCCTCAGTAGCCCATGTGGTAGGGCAGCAGGGCCGGGGCCGGGCTGGGATAGAGGCCAGTCTGGACGTGGAGTACCTGATGAGTGCTGGCGCCAACATCTCCACCTGGGTCTACAGCAACCCCGGTACAAGGGGACTGGCTGGTGGGGAGACAGGGTAGAGTGAGTGTTGCTCCCTGCTCCCTGCAGGGAAGTGCCTGAGCTAGGAGATCCTGACAAGCCCTAAAAGGCCCTTGTGCCCCTCCTCCCAGGCCGGCATGAGTCACAAGAGCCCTTCCTGCAGTGGCTCCTGCTGCTCAGCAATGAGTCCTCCCTGCCACACGTGCACACTGTGAGCTACGGTGACGATGAGGACTCCCTCAGCGCAGCCTACATCCAGCGAGTCAACTCCGAGTTCATGAAGGCTGCTGCTCGGGGTCTTACCCTGCTCTTTGCCTCAGGTGACTCCTGCTCTTAAACTTAGACTCCCCATCCCCCATGCAGCCTGGCTGCCCACCCTGTCCCTACCTGCCCACCCCCACTGCACAGGGGTGAACCTGACCTCCGACTCATAATCTGAACTCAATAGGGACCACTGACCTGACCTATGAGCTCTGAACTTTCACAGTCTAAGACTTGAATTCCATCTCTGACAGCTAGATCCAAACACCAAGCTCTGATCAGTCAATCTGAGCACAACACTTGGTCTCTCCTCTAGGTGACAGTGGGGCTGGGTGTTGGTCAGTTTCTGGAAGACACCAGTTCCGCCCCAGTTTCCCTGCCTCCAGGTAAGCACCCCAGCTGATCCCTTACCTGTGACCACCAATCTTTCATCTGTGTTCTCATGATCTGGAAGCTGCCTCGAAGCCATCAGATCTGCCAGGGGACTCAGCTCTCAGCTGTACCTGCCCTGGCTTCTACACACACTCTTCTACCTATAGGTCAAGCCCCATGTCCCTTGAGTAGGGTTCCTCTTCCTCAATGGCCAGCATTTTAGTGGGAGTACTGATGGGTGCTCTGTAGAGAAAAGTCTGTACAATCACCCCAGCCATGTGGTGAGGACTTAGTCTTCCTCAATATAGGCTTCCACAGAGTCTAGCCCTTCCAGCAAGACCCAGGCCACATTCACTCCTCCCCACATATTCTTGAGGTCTTCATGTATTCCCCTGCAATTGGAGTGCTATTTTCTGTTCTCAGTCCCTATGTCACCACGGTGGGAGGCACATCCTTCCAGAATCCTTTCCGAGTCACAAATGAGATTGTTGACTATATCAGTGGCGGTGGCTTCAGCAATGTGTTTCCACAGCCTTCATACCAGGTACATCTATGTTTGTATGACTGAAGTGGGCCAAGAACCTAGTTCAGAAGACTGCTGGGAAGAGCACAGACCAACACTCTCTTCACGATACCTTTCAGGAAGAAGCTGTAACCCAATACCTGAACTCCACTCCCCACTTGCCACCATCCAGTTACTTCAATGCCAAGGGTCGTGCCTACCCGGATGTGGCTGCACTTTCAGATGGCTACTGGGTGGTCAGCAACAACGTGCCCATTCCATGGGTGTCTGGTACCTCGGTGAGAATCATCCTGACTCAAACTGCCACTCAGGAACTACCCTTACCCTTTACTCCCCAACACCTTACACCCCAAGTCCCCTATCTCCTCAGAGACCTCTGATCCCTTCAAACACCTCTCCCTCAAAGCCCAATTATTTTGAACCCCTAACCTCTCTCTGCCCTCTCACCCTTGCAGGCCTCTACTCCAGTGTTTGGGGGACTCCTATCCCTGATAAATGAACATAGAATCCTCAGTGGCCGCCCCCCTCTTGGCTTCCTCAACCCAAGACTCTACAAACAGCACGGGGCAGGCCTCTTTGATGTGAGTGTAGTAGGGAGGGTGTGGACATTTTCATGAATTCAGAATACTACTATGAACTTGAGGGCAGTTCTGATGAGGTGGGGCAGCCTCTAGGATATGAACACAGTGTAAGGGGGGGGGGGGTGTATCCTGCTACTACTGGTGCAAGCAGCCCCAGGTCTGAGCCCATTTTCTCCCTAGGTAACCCATGGCTGCCATGCGTCCTGTTTGGACGAAGAAGTGCAGGGTGAGGGTTTCTGCTCTGGCCCTGGCTGGGATCCTGTGACAGGCTGGGGAACACCCAACTTCCCAGCTCTGCTGAAGACACTGATCAACCCTTGACCCTTTCCTGTCCCCCATCTCAGTCTGGCTGGGTCACTTATTCTGCACTGTTGGAAGCCCTGCTGAACCCCAAATCCGACTGCTGCAGTTTATCTCCCTAACCCTGAAATGCTGTGAGCTTGATTTCCCTCCCAGCCCTTTCCTGAACCAGCACACTCAGGTCTCCCTACTCCTGCCTCACTTCCCTCTACAGGTACTGTAACTAGTACCATCAGGAATCTCTCCCTGCCCTCCACCCCACTGCTTCTCTGTCTTTTCAACTAGGTCGTTAACACTATCTATGTATAATGTTTTACTTGCTTGTCTCCTAATCTGTAACAATGATACCTCTGTTCTTACTTTTTTACCCTTCCCTGACACTGAGAAAAAATGGTCTTACTGCTGTTTTACCCAGTGTTCATTTCTCAATCTTTGCTTTATGAACTCTGTCATAGCCCCCACTCCCTCTCCTTAGCTTCTAGGGTTTAATTTCTCCTTTTCTGGCTAATACCTCTTTCTCTTCTTTCTGTTTCTCATTGAATGTGGGTATATTTCATTGCTCCACCCTTAGTTTTTTTCACTTTTCACTCTACCCTTGGAACATTGTCCCCTGGACCAGACCAATCACTGACATCCACAGCCATCACCAAATGACCGCTTCCCAGAATACTACTTCAAACCAAGCCAGGAACCTAAGTGTCATTCTACACAACCATTTCCTCCCCCTCCTCCCCCAAGCAATCAACTTACCAGTCCTACTGGTTCCACCTCTTAAATATCTCTTTGTCAATCCACAAGTACTGACAACTGTATTTCCTAAGTATAATCTAAAGTTCATCTGCTTCTCTGCATCTCCACAGCTACCACATTAGCATAGAGCCATAACCTCTCTCCTCTGAAATGTAGGAGGCTCTTACAATGTCCTTACTTCTGCCCTTTTCCAAACCATCATTTAAAATCCCATCAAGTCACTGACACGATTAGGACTCTAATATTACTGGGGAAAAGTTTAGGCTTTTCCTCCTAAAATTCTTTTCCTGGCTCACAAACCAGATCCCTTGCCTTTTATTTGTTCCTCAATAACAAATAATTTCTCTCTCCCTGCTGACCACCTCCCCACACTTTTGTTGTTGTTGTTGTTCAAGATATTGTGTCCTTAACATTCACCCCGATTGCCCAGTGATTTCTAGTGTTCAAGTATGTAACTCTCAAGCCACCTTCTCTGTGAACTTTTTGGTTCCCTAAAGCTAGTTGATTTTGGTACTGCAGAAAACTAGATTTTTGAAACCAAACTCGTCTGACTCTTGGTTCTGATAAAAACTAGGAGAGCTTTTGGGCCAATTCATCTGCCTGAGTCTTCTCATCTGTTAAATGGGCATATAAATAACTGCCTCTCGTAATAATCAGGGAATAACTAGTTGAATAAAGTTAATGAGAGTAGCTGGCACATAGGAGTAGGCAGCAGACGTCACTTCCCTCCCTTGCACTGCACACTGTCTACCTCTAGCACTGTAACTCCCATAGAGTATTGAAATGACCAGTTTACCTCCCTTTCCAAGACCATCGGTGCCTCCAGGACTAGAACCTCACGCTACCTGACTTTGTATTTCCAGACCCTAGCTCAAGATTGGCAAATGCGAATTAAATAAACGTTTGCTATACTGACACCCTTGCCCTTGGGCTCAGTGTCTTGCACGCGTTTTCTCAGGCTGAAATACCTCTGGCCCCTGCTCCTGCAGCGCTGTGTGCGCGTTCCTTCACTTCGGGAGAGGACTTTCCGGCTTCCCCACGAACACTTAAAAGGTTAATTAAATAAGGGAACGAGAAAGCATGTGGTCTGGGAGCAATCGCGAGGTCGAGAGGTGTCCAGGGTCGATGAGTCCTCAAAACCCGGTCGTTAGGCTCAGGACTCGGTGAGGAGTCCCGGAGCTGCAGAAGAGAGTCTTCAACATACAAGGATTCCTGTATGGATTCCCCGATCCTGGGGGCATCTTCCCGATTGTCTGGCGGGGCGAGAGGTGTCCTGTCTGCGCCCCAAGCGGGGCCTCAGGGCCGGGTTCCACACCTTCGGTCTAAGTCTGATACTCGCCACACAGGGGACTGATACTCGCCACACAGGGGACTAAAGGAAGGTGGAGACCGTAGGCAAGAGGCCAGAGAAGGCGTGAACTTGACGTAGGCGGGGCAAGTCGCGAAGCGCGTGACGTCACCCGGTGTGTGCGTAGCGTGAGCGGAAGCGGAAGCGGCTCTGTTCGCCGCCTCTCCCACCGGCCCG